AGGTGTATTTTTACTTTAGGTATATCATCTATTTCTTGGAAGTCTGCAAAACAGATGTGTATTGCCTTTTCCACCATGGAATCAAAATTCATTGCTCTTGATTTAGCCGAACAAAAGGCTGAGTGGCTTAGGAATCTACTTGCAGATATTACTTTATAGGGGAGACCTACACCTCCAGTGTCATTATTATGTGACTCACAAACTACAATTTGCGTTGCTAATAATCAAGCATACAATGTTAAGAAGAGACACATCAGGATAAGACACGAATTTGTGAGACATCTTATAAAGAATGTAGTACTCGCATTGGAGTACGTGAAATCATAAAGGAACCTTGTTGATCCCTTAACTAAAGGGTTACATAGGAAAATGGTTCTTGATTCATCGAGGGGGTGAGACTTAAGTCCATAGGATGAGTTTTATACTCTTAAGAGGTTGAGTTTTATACTCTTAATGAATCCATAGCCCAAGATTTGGGTGCTCTTAGTAATACAAACTTGATGGATACACCAGTTTTTAAGGTTGAGTTTTATACTCTTAATGAATTCATAACCCTAGTTTGTGGGTGACCTTAATGAGATAGGCTCGATGAATTCATCGAATTTATAAATGAGAGGTTGAGCTTAGTAAAAGCTCTTAATGATTTTATAGCCCTAATTCGGGTGGTCTATATTGAGATAGACTTGATGAAATTACCTTCGTAAGTGTGAATGATTAGCCACCTTCTATGAAAAACTTTGGGTCGTCTTTCTAGAGCACTTACGAGCATCTCGAGGTATTATTTGGCAAAATTTTGAACTATCGCATAACTCATATAGATTTGAGATTAGTCGTGTGTTATGAGTTAACCCTAATCTTAACAAGTTCAAGATTCATTCACTTGTTAAAGAGAATAATTACCTATTTCTCTATGTACTAGTTCAAATCTAACAAATACTAGTATTTAAACGACTAATTTCGTCATTACTCTTTTGTTTTAATTCTTTTGTGGGTCTCTATTTTTTTGCATTAGTAAGGATTGTTGGTTATATATATAATAATGCAAAGAAATATAATTAATTTTATTTAAATTTTAAATTTTAAATTAATTGAAATTCAATGGTTGAGATTATGAGAGGAGTTAAGATTTTTTTGTTGATTTTTCTATTTATATTTTTACCTAAATACCCTTAATTGTTTAGCTATAAAAGGAGGTCATCTCATTCATTTTCAATTCACTATCTCTTCATTCTTCTCTCTTCTTCTATATTTATCTCTTCACAAGCATAGTAAAGTTTTTCTTTTTCGGTGGCCTTCGATATTTTTTATTCCGGTAGTATTTACTCCGGATAAAATATTTTCCTTTCATCCAAAGAGAGCAATACTATTTAGAGTTTCACTTCCTTATTTCGGGTGTACGAAATTCGGAAGACTGTGTTAACTTTGGGGGCAACTTCTATTTTAGAGATTACACTAGTCCGAACTAAATTGCTTATAAGGCAGTGACTACACGACACAATAAGATTACTTGCTTTTTATTTATTTTATTTATTTTTCCAGTCAGTGCTAATATTTCATTTTGCAATAAGCTATATTTCCAACAACTGTAACACCTTAAATTTCAAATTCAATTCTGATCAATCGAATATGATTTCTCGAGTAATTATTATTTTAAATTTATATTAAATAATTCTCAAGTTTTAAAATATTCAATTGACTTTCTAAAAATTCTGACTTCATGAGCTCAGTATCGAATATTTTTTGTGAATTATTTATATAATTTTTACTTATAATCTTTGATTAATTTTTTAATTCATATTCAGATAATAATATTAAAATATATATAATAATAAGTATATTAAAATTTATAAGGGATTTTACCCGATTAAATTTAAAATATATATATCGATAGTTTTTTTATAATCATCGATACTCGATTTATTAATTGATTAATCCAAATCGAGTACTGTAAAGGCAAGAATGACATTTCTAATTTGTTTCATTCGCAAACGTTAGGATTTAAACTTTTGACATTGCTTAAAGGATATAGTGCTTGTGATAAAAAAAATATAGATAGATATTTGAGCAGTTGTGATCCATGAATGGCTGGACTTTCCAATTGCATTGACCTTAGTGGAGCCATCCATGGTTTTCAGAACCGGACCGGTTAGCGAACCGGTCATGCTACCGGTTCACTGGTTTAACTGGTCGAACCGGTTCGACCGGTCGGAAAAACCAGACGATGTCATAATTATTTAAAAAATTAAATAAAAATATAAAAATATTTAATAAAAAATAATTTTTTATATCACAAGTCATATTCAAAGCAAGTCATAACATATATAAGTTAAAAACCATAAAATCAAGTGAAACAAAATGATTCAAATTAACTACAATATAATATTTAAGGTAAAACATATTAAATAATAAATATAATTATATAACTATAATTAAAAAAATAAATTTGGGGTTAAAAAATCATAACAAAATGATATTGTTTGGTTTAATTTTTTTTTAAAAAATAATCCCACATGGCTAAGAAACATAGAAGAGCATCCCAAAAGTCTAAAGAGTAAAAATATGATAACAAAACAATCTCACATTGATAAGAAACATATAAGCGCATCACAACTAACTTCTATAAATAATAGAGGTAATTTGGCATTCAAAATCATGGAGCCTTTTGGTGAGCTTTGAGTAAACTATTCTTTCACTTCAATCAAGCTCGAATTTTAGGCTTCAATCGAGCTTCTAATTTTTTTTTGAGTTCAAGTTTCAATATTATATTTCGAGTTTGAGTTGAACTTGATAATTTTTAGCCTGTGAGTTTGAGTTGAGTTGAGCTTACTTTTAAAGTTTTCAAGTTCGAGTCGAGCTCAGCAATACTCGAGTTCGACTTGGCTCGTTTAACAAACGACGTTGTTTGGTTTAATTTTTTTTAAAAAAAACAAAAATCTCGGTTTTTCCCGGTTTTTTTCAGTTTTCAGCCGGTCCGGTTCGAATGGTTCAGCGGTTCTGACCGGTTCACTAATAGCAGTTTAACCGGTTTAGATTGAACCGGACTAAACAATGATTTCCGGTTGAACCGGCCGGTCCGATTTTCAAAACAGAGGAGCCATCACCGGAGGATCCCTCCACTTTACTACTATTGCTGACATGCAAACAAATACAAAATTCTTCTCATTCATATCATAGCAATATCCACCCACTACTGTTACCTCCAAGGCCTTAAAGCTTAGATTTAACTTCTCCCTTGGAAAGTGCAGTTGGTACATCTTTATCAACACAAATAGTAATCATTTATAACAATCCTACGAGAAGAATATGTATCAAAACTAAATTTCAAAGTTAGAACAAATAATTGCACTCTAGTCAAGGATGAACCAACCGATAATATGTGCTGCTTACTTCATCTCCTTGGGAGAACAGTCAAGATAGTCCGTAAACTCGGACCTTGAATGTTGTAGTCTGAGTTCGACTTATATTTTAAATACATTTTGATTCTTTATTCAAATTCATTTTTGGGATCGAATATTTTTATTTAAATTCTTTCAAAATTCGGACGAACCTTCAAGCATAAACGAGATTAATCCGATGCTTGAGCATGTCTACTTTGAAACAATAGGAACGAGCTGGTGTTTAATGCAGAGAATCATAATTCAGAAGACATTGTTGCCTCGAGTATAGCTTGAACAGATAGCAGCTATGCAAGAGGCCATGAACGGTGACATTCAACCATGTATTTACAGAAGCAACCGGAGAACAGTGCAGCAGATTTGATGGCGAGGCTTGGAACAACATTGGATCAAGGTCTGCACTTGTACTCAACGATTCAACAATCTGGCCCAAAACAAAATATGCAGCAAGATTTTGAAGGAATGATTATAAAGGATAGCTCTGGTTTCACCACCGAACGCTTATGTGCTTTGTAATTAAGCTTTGGGTAACCTGTTAAGTGTCTAATCACGTCACTAAAACGATATATTTTGGTACCTTTTATTTCTGAACTTTTTGTAAAATTTTAATCTTTTCTTCCCGACAATCGAAGTCATTTTCTATTGCCGTTTGATCGTCGTGAACAATCATTTACGGTACAATTGATATCAAGACGTGTCATTCTTTTTTTTTTTCAATTTGGTTTTATTTGAAATTCCCCTCAATATTAACAAAATTCAAATTAAAACTTCGAATTATCTTACTTCGATTTGTAATCTCTATTGTCTGATTAACGTGAAATTAAGATATATTATTATTTTTCTTATCTATCTCTATTAGGAAGTAGTTGAAGAGAAAGCAGTAAAACGTTTATTGAAGTAAAACATTTATTGATACTCTGATTACAATACAAGGGCTGCTGTGTTTATATACTGCACAGGTAGCTTAACAGAATAACCTCTCTTAACAACCAGCTTAACAGCTTCCTAACTGCCTAATATTCTTCTAAACATACTCATTCTTCTAACATTCTCCCTACTTTCTCAACCTTCTTGACAAAAAGATGAACAATTGAGTCGAAAGTGCTGATGCTTCCTTCCGTTCACTTTGAATCGAAAGTGTCGATGCTTTCGATGCTTCCTTTCATTCTTCTTGAACCGAAAGTGCCGATGCTTCCTTCCGTTCACTTTGAATCGAAAGTGCTTATGCTTCCTTTCGTACTTCTGATTCACCTTCATTTCTTTGTTCTTCACCCTCTTTTACCAGATTCCTTGAAATTTTTTTTATGAACTTTTAGCTGAGAAGCTTTCAAGTCCCATAACACTTTTGAGATATAAGCAATAAAAGCAACAAAATGAATGCAAAATTAAACTTCTGTTTACTTACACAAAAAAATTATACTACTATGCAGAAATAACATCATGTCTCCAGTGTACCCATAAACGGAATCTCTGTTATAAGTTCCCATTGGCAGAATTATTAACCTGAAGAGTGTGGTGATCATAAGCCTCAATCCATTTCCCGCCTATTAGACCCAGCGTTCGGAATATGGGGGAATTTTTAAGCGCAGAAGCGACACTACCCATCTGGCGAGCGCGAAAATGGCTCTGAATCTCAGTCTCATTGCCTCGATTTCTCAGAAACTCCCTTGCCATGCTCTTCCTCCCAAATCCACTCTCAGATCTCCCAAGTTTTCCATGATCTCCACCATTCCTTATGGCTCCAAAGATGTTGGGAATCTGAAAAAGCCTTTTGCGCCTCCACGGGAGGTGCCTGCTCAGATCACCCACTCCATGCCGCCTCGTAAGGTTGAGATCTTCAAATCTCTGGAAGGATGGGCCGAGAACAACATCCTGACTCACTTGAAACCAGTCGAGAAATGTTGGCAGCCCGCCTACTTTCTCCCGGATCCTAATTCCAATGGTTTTTATGACCAAGTCAACGAGCTCCGGGAAAGGGCAAAGGAGATTCCCGATGATTACTTTGTCGTTCTGGTGGGTGATATGATCACGGAGGAAGCCCTTTCCACTTATCAAACAATGCTTAATACCTTGGATGGAACTCGCGATGAAACTGGTGCTAGCCTTACCCCTTGGGCCATTTAGACCAAGGCATGGACTGCCGAAGAAAACCGGCACGGCGATCTGCTTAATAAGTATCTCTATCTCTCTGGAAGAGTGGACATGATGCAAATGTGATGAGAAGATCATATAAACCGCCATAATTCGTTGCAATCTCATGTTTCCTGATGCAGTAAACGACGCCGGTTTAGCAGCCGTTGCCGCTGCCGAAGACGCCGATGACATTTTCTCCTCCTCTTCCATGCAGCGAAAGAACAAATGAAGTCAGGACCGTTTGGCGAATGATACCATATTAGGAAGTAGTTGAAGAGAAAGCAGTAAAACGTTTATTGAAGTAAAACATTTATTGATACTCTGATTACAATACAAGGGCTGCTGTGTTTATATACTGCACAGGTAGCTTAACAGAATAACCTCTCTTAACAACCAGCTTAACAGCTTCCTAACTGCCTAATATTCTTCTAAACATACTCATTCTTCTAACAATCTCTACACAAGTCGAATTTGGAAGATTATACTCAAGCGTAGGTGAATCAAAAAGAGACTTTAAATTTGGGTCGAGAGAAAATGTTTAGGGTTTATTTGCATAAATTTACCACAGAAACTCAAACAATGTTAAGTACTTGATGACCGGTGAGTAAGAAAGGAGTAATTCGAAAATTAGATGATTAAATTAAAAACATTTAAAGTTGAATGGTTAAAACATGATCAAAATTGAGTGATGAAAAGCTTAATTAACCTTGAAGCTCTATAGATTAGTTTTTTATTTAAAAGGTTCAAAGAATTAGGTAATTTAGATATTAATTTAAAGAGAATATAAGGTAATATTTGTTTGAAAGAATCTCATTGAAAAATTCATAAATCTTTAGATCCCATAGATATAATATTTGAACTCGAATTCTTAAAAATAACAACAATCTTTTAATTACTAATGTTAATAGATTCATACAACAATTTATATATTTTATTAAAACAGTTGCACTTTTAATTGGTTTCATAATAAATTGTGAAGTTATGCCTTCGGATCCTTCCATTTGACCTTCCATTTGACTCCATAATCATGATACACATAAATACTACCGATAATATATCTATTGATTTGATAAATGGTTGTCCTTATTTCACCAGGTTGAGAGCAACTTCCGTAGAAGACCTACGAATTATGAAATGTCCTTCGTGGGACTCGATCCCACGACCTCAAAGTTAAGAACCTTGTGCTCTATCAACTGAGCTGGATGGTCATCCCATATCTATTGATTTGATAAATTTAAAAATTTAATTAATTCAATTTACGTTCAAATTTGTTTTGATTTAATTTAATCATAGAATATTTGTGTATTAAATTCATAAATAATTTAAATTTAAAATGAATTTAAATAAAGTAATTTTAAATTTACATAACCTTATTTATCTGAACTTTAAAATCCTATACTCTTAATTATTAAAATTTTAAATGTTAATCCTGACAAGTAACAAAATAAATTAAATTTTATAAACTAATTTTACACAAATTATATATCAAACATTTTTTATATAAATAAATATCTTAAAATAATCAAATTTAAATATTTTTTTTAATATTTTGAGGTGATTATAAGAAATGTAATATATGTTCAAAATTCTCTTTATTTATTGACAACACACATACATCTTACAGACATAACTACTCAAACCTAAAATCTCTAAGAAAAACAAATTTTGTTTTACCATCGGTCCACTTGATGGGTTGGAATTTAAATGTTTAAAGTTAACATAACTTTAAGGCTTAATACAAAAATAAGTGCCTAAAGTAAACCAAAGTTAACTTTAAGTGTCTAAAGATTTTTTTCATTAAATTTCGGTGTCTAACGTTTCTAATGTTATACTTTTAGGTGCATATACCGTAATGTCCATAAACTCGACTATTAAGTGACACGTGTCACGTTTATATTTTTTTTTGAAATTTTTATTTAAACAAAAAGCTTAAAAATATTATTTGTTTCCTCCACTGTTGATAAGTCATCTTCGATCTATGGTATTCATCGTTGATGCCATTTGAATCGCCTCACTGTTGCGACCAAAATTCGGTCCTTATCAATTGTGAAACTGCGTCAATCGTCGTGAAAAGCGTCGCGAATGGTCGTCGAAATTCAAGGTTTTCCTTTATTATTTTTCAGTGATTTCGACAGCTCCTGATGTCCATGCGTTATACAGTCGTCACCATTGAGTTATTTACCCTACTCCGAATAAAATACAGTTAGTTGTGACTTTAATAATTTATACAAATTAAACCTTTCGCCGCCGTTTTCATCTCTACCGCCACATTCATTTATGTTGTTATTTTTATGGTTTGTGGATTGGGAAGATTTGAGTTTAGGGTTTGAGATGTAATTTTGAGATTTAATATTTAGGTTTATGGGCATTATTTTTCTTTAATTTTTCGGTAATAACATTAATGGCTGCTCTCGACAATGATTCTAATAATGGCGAATTAAAAGGTTAGTTATTATAATATAAGTTTTAAAAGTTTGGTTACTAAATGTAAGCTTCCTAAAAATTCAAGATTACCAATATAGTTTACCCCAAAGTAATTTTATATTACGAAGAGAGATTTTTTTTTTTGACAATTAATTCAACTGCTAAAAAGGAATGTTTGTGAATAATTAAGTTATTGTGATCCCAAAAGCCCAAACGAAAACCTGATTGATTTCTGTTGTCGACTCCATTTTGAGGATCGAGTACTGACCATAATGGCCTAGTCTTACTTCTTTCCACTTGACCGGTTGACCCCTTTTCTTGTCGGCGAAAGGCCATGGAAATTAACCGCTAAAATCTTTCCTCTCCTTTTCCCTCCATTTTCCAGTCATTTAAATGGACCGCCAACTCCTCAGAAGCTAATCAGTAACCGCTTATAAGCGGCTGCTATGGAGCTTGACGACTTCTCGTGTTATTTGTTGTTTGCTAATGTCTGGTGATTTTTGTTCGAGGTAAGTGTTTTCGACTGATGATCTCTCAATTTATATATATATATCTTGAGTTTCACGAGAATTCTTTGATTTTTAACCGGTTCGAGCCTAGGGTTAGGCTTACTCTTGGAATTTGTATATTATGATAGAAAAAGAGTCCCACCATCCGCATATAAATTTCTTTATCAGTATACTCTTAATTCAAAGTTGACTTGAAGCTGGATTAGGATGATCGATTATTTCCAGTTGCAAATTTTGGAAATGGAAAAAGAAGAAGAAATGGTTTGGGGCATTCAGAGAATTGAACTTAGGACCTCTTGTATACGACGTAGGAATTATACAACTAGATTACATGTTCGATTATTGTTGTTTAATATAATTTGTTGTTAGTTCTCTTTTTCTTCAATACCCTGTGATTTTGGATTTCTCTCTGCTAACTTGGTCGCAAGTTGAATGCCAGTAGAATTATACTACAAGATGAAATGCTCAATGTTTGATGTTTAACATAAATTATTTTCGTCATTAGCTTTTTCCAGTAAAATAAAGAAAGAAGAGGTTTTGTATTGATCTAAAACTGGATATTTGGCTTTCTCATTCACTAGTTTGTCATTCCATGAACATTTTGGTCAACAAGTGTTTAAACTTGCTCCTCAAATGTAGGTTCATTGCATGAAAATTGATCCCCTTTTTGGCAGGGACGACCAATATCTAATATCTGAGGGCTTTGATATGTATTTTAGGTTACTCACTATTAAAAAAGTTACATATTATTTTATTTATTTTTGCAACTCTTTTTGAAAAATCTTGTCAGTAAACAATTAATATTTTATTCTAAAGTTAGAAGATAGTGAAAAAAAGCAGTTGGGCATTCCAAAAATTTAATCGATACCTTTCATACCCACAGTTAGAATCATACCACAAGACCAAATACTCATTTGTTGTTATCACATTTACTGCTAGTAGTTTTCGAGAACTGGTGGATGTCTTTATTTATTGATGAAATCTTTGACTTTCTGTTCAGAACCAGATTGCTTGTGATCTTTTTTGCTATTGGGATTAACAGTTATGCAAGACTACTAAAGTCGTCTATTTTCACAAAGTAAAGTCATTTTTTTAAAATTCTGTTGACCTGGTCACCTGGGTCCGAATCCTAATTTAACCTTTGGTTGAAGGCATATGGTGCAAAAGGAGAAAGCTGATGGAAGAGGTTCATAGCATGGTTATCGGTCAGAATGACATATGGACTTTGTAACACCCCAAACCGATGAGGGTAGCCCGATCCGATTCGGGAAGTCACATTAGGGTCACCGGAGCGACCCACCGTAAAAATAGCGGAAATTTTAAAACTTTTTATCAGAACATGTAAACTTATAAAATCATTTATCACTATTTAAAAATAAAACAGATTTCCAAACTCGTATATAAATCAAAATACAATTACATGCCCCCTAATCACAAATACCATACTCTGCAACCACGCCGGAAGAACTCCCTTACTGAAGTCGATAGATGCACTGGTACAATTGTTTTAACCTGAAAAGGTGAGTAATAGAGTGAGCTTTGGAAAGCTCAGTAATACAGAACTACCAGATGATGCTACATGACATGTAGATAAATAAAAAGCCATATAATTTCCTTATTGAATCATATGTATACCAGCTTGTAGAATAATTTGGGGTTCCCTTAGAAGTTCATCGAGTAGAAGCCATGAATCTCAGTTCATAAGAAACCTTTCATACAATCACGTTTTCATGAGGTCAAATAGGATGTCTAGTGTGTTTCATCAATACGATAAAATCATAATAGGTACACTAATCAAATGATAGTTCAGTAAAATCCCATAAACCATATTGTAGTGGAGCTTTTTAAACTCGTATTTTAAAACCATCTTACAAAGAATTAACCTAAGGGAACATCTTAGGGCCTGAGAGCCTACCCAAGATAGATTTCGGGGCCGTGGGGCCTACCTAAGAACATCTTAGGGCCGCAGGGCCTACCCGAGAATGATCTCAGGGCCGCAGAGCCTACCTAAGTGTCACATTAGGTCCATAAAAATTTTCCAGCTTGATCAGAGCTGTACTTTACAAATCTGTATCTCCAAGATACAGTTTATACAATGATACAAATCCATAAGCCATCACCGTTAAGTCGGTGCATCCATAAAATAGAAACCATAGATTTCAGTGTACCACGTGTTAAAACAATAAAACAATTTTTTTCAAAATATAAGGAACACACTAGAGAATCCATATATTTTTCAGACGCATTTTGTAGTTATCAATATAGATAACACGAACTTGTGCAATTTGATCAGATTCCAGGAATAAGATCTCATTGAAGAGAATCGATTTCTAACCAATATAATCAGACATTTCTGATTGATACTTTAGAATTCCACTAAGTTTCCATGTGCATCAGGAAAACGTTCAGGAACCTTTTTACATAATAATTCTAAATTCAGATTTACTGCGAGTGATTCCATTACCCAAACAATCAGGGGTATTCCGGAATATACTTTGAATTCATAGGATTTCAGCCCAATTGTACCAAATGAGGTATTCAGAATCTTTTCCTTCTGCGTTACTTGCATTTTCAAACATGACCGAATTGATTTTAGATCAAAATATGTAATCGAAGATTCAAGTCATTTACGATCTATGACTATCGATAGTATTATTAAACAACTCAAGTTACACAACTCACAGACTGATGCATGTCAACAAATCAATTCATTATCCCTCCAATGCATTCACTCTTTAATACCATAGTGCAGATCCATAGATCATCCCCATAATCATCACTGAATAAATCTTCCAACGGTCTTTATTTCATTTCCACGTTTCAACAATATCAGGAAATACTGACGTACTGGATCCATGGCTCATAACCCATAATGACAATTCATCATGTAAGTTCAACAGTGTTTCCAAACTCATCAAATCACCTATTTAATCCATACTCATTGATGTTACTTAGTTCATTTGTTAAGCAAGTCTATCTCGATTACTTTAAAGTTTTCCAGAATAATTCAGACGTTTCTGAATTTTCAAATACACGTTGTACTACATTTCATTTCAATTTATTCATATAATAAAGTTATTATGGTATTCGTGGTTGATTTGACTAACGACTACCCACTTATTAGTACTGTATGCGCTCTAAAGTTGAGCTGCGCCAAGTACTTCCAGAATTATCATCGATCCAAATTTGAGCAGATGAACAAACATTCAAGTGATACTTATATCATTCAGGTAATGATATAGTACTAACGTTGGTTAATCACTTAAGTTGCGTTTCACAACTTTTACTGGTAGCACAACATCCATGTTTATTTGAATTTCTTAATTAATCCAAGACATTTACTTATTCTAGGTCATAAGGGCATTTTGGTCATTTTGGTGCTTAACATTTTTTCTATTCATTTCAAAGCTTGAGTATATCCATTCATTCCTGAGCTTGGTGACATTCTTGAGTTATTTCCATTCCAGGGGTAATTTGGTCATTTTATAATTCTAGAATATTTCAATCATTTCCTTCCATCCGGTCTTATTATTTAATTCAATCTTATCATTTACTTCAGTCCTTTCGAACAATTCTATCAGCAGAATACCTCCAATAAATTACTCTTCAAGTATTTACTCCTTATTCGAATATTTTCGGGTCAAGTGTCTTCTCAGATTTTACAAACGAAATATTATAAATTTTTCTGTACAAAGACAGGATCTTAACAATTAAATTCGTACTTAATCGAGTTAAGTACAAATCCTCAAAGTACTCTCTCATTCAGGGTCAATTCAGACTATTTTATCTCTCAAGGGCATTTTCGTAATTTCTTAACCAAATAATTTCAATATTAGCACTTAACGAAAATAATTATAATTTAGAGATCCTATGATCAATTGCTTTCCCGAACATTCTTTGATTTTGAAATGATTCCTTCACAAACTCTCATAGGATTAAAACCGATTATCCAAAATTTCCAAATAAAACTAACATTTCTTATGCACATCAGTAGTTATATCGGATCAATATGTATTTTCAGAGTTATTAACCAACTTCCAGGGGCAATTCTTGTCATTTTCCAACATAAGGTAATTTCGTAATTTTACCATATCGGAGTATTCTCATAATTTTTCATCCAAGTATCTTTAACATTTAACCCTTGATGATATAAAATATAAGTTACAAATCCAGAGCTGATTTCTTTATCACCAATCACAAACTTGTAATTTAATTCTAACAATTATCAATCTCTTATCTTAGTCATTCGATCCGTATTCAGTTACAGAATTTCTACCACATTCATATCGAGTGAATAAATTATTCAACTCTACAAAAGTGACCAACATTATCTTATTCATGCATTTACCAATATCAACATGCTCCATAAAGCATAAAGAGGTAGTAAAGTATTACCTCGATTTTTGTGCAATACTGATCGACCATAAAAATTCCATTCGAACGCCTTTGATCTTCAATTCAACTTCTAATAATTCCTCAGATACATATCAACATAAATTATATCAGAAACGGAGCTTAATTGCGATAAACGGATCGAATCGGGTGATAAATCAGTCAAAAACAGCTTACCGAGTTTGAATTTGGCGAAACCGACTTCGGATTCGGATTCAGGACGTCGAAAGCATAAAGTATGACTTTTTGAAAATTTGGAATTTTCGGTCAAAATCAAAGTCAACGGGTTTGACCGGAAATATCGAGGCCTTCGGGTCCGAATTTCGGAAAATGGATTGCGGAATCGGATTTGGAACGTCGAAAACTATCAAGATAGGTATACTCGGTCGAAGTCAAAGGTCGTTTAATGCCCGGTCAAAGCTGGTCAAAGTTTTGGTTAACTATAGTCAACGTCAGTCAACGGTGGTCAACAGTAAACGGCTCGGTCTAGGCGGCTCGGCTCGGCTCAGCTCAAACGGCTTGGCTCAGCTCAAACGGCTCGGCTCAGCTCAAACGGCTCGGCTCAAACGGCTCGGCTCAAACGGCTCCTCATGCTTCCAGACGAAGCC